TGGGGGTCCTCTTTCAGCAGAAAATCTTGCATTCTAATTCAAGGAAAGAAAACATTAGAGGTATAAGCTACCTGAAGTCCAAAGTCATACCCAGGAACTCATCTCCATCTATGTCAACGCTTCCCTTCTGTCATAGCTGCAGCTTAAATCAGAGGTGGGCCAAAGGCCTGTGATATGGGACAGCAAATACATCATCTAATATTTCCAAATCTAGACTCCTGTGTTCCCAAATCCATTAAACAGCAGCACCATCCATTTAGTCAACTGTGACGGAAATTGCTAATTGTACCCTCATCCATTCTCCTCTATTTTAGTAATAGAGCTTCTGGGATATGGGATAAGTGAGAATGCTAAGCTAGAAGGTTACCAGAGGAGAAGGCAAGGGGATTGGAAAAAAAATTGGAAAAAGGGAGAAAACCCTGGGCACCCTGGAGGCTTAATTTCTGCTACTCCTAGGAATACTAGACTGAAATATAACTTAATAGCAAAGATATGAGGAGTGTTCATGTCTCTCTGTGTGTTAAAGGTATGCAGGGGCACATTTGTTTATTATAAAATCATTATTTGGCATGAAATGAAATTTAACTTTTGGCTGTGAATTTAATCTGGAAGGAGAATTGTAGGGAGATCTGAAATGGCCATGATAATAATAACGGCTGCATGACGTTGTGAACTACCTGCATTTGAATACAGAAAACTGGACCTGTTTATATTAAAATATATTAGTTTATTAATACCTATTTATTAATAGAGCTCCCTGAGTTTTAGCTAGGCACATAGCTATCCATTTCGTGACAATATTTCCCAGTTCATCTTGCAACTGAGCATGGTGATATGATTAAAGTTCTCCCCAATAAAAAAATAGCAAAAGTGATATAAAAGTCCTTTAAAATGAAAAGATTTTTTGCCTTCCATTTCCTCTTTCCCCTTTTTCACAGGCTGGAAAGAGATACAGGTCCAGTGAATGTGCTTTGCCCATGAGGACAGACAACTCAATGGGAGTTGGGAGGATAAATGATAAAAGAACCTGGGCCCATGAATAACCCCGTGGGGCAGACTGAATGTATACCAAAAAAGTTTCTACCTTACATTCCAGGCCTCTTTGATATGGAAGTTTGGCCTATACTCTAACACAACATCCAAGCAAGAAACTTGGGAAATCACTTATAGTCCTTCCTTTCTTATACTCCTTAAAGCTCCCTTCTCTTCCTGTATCTCCAAACATACAATTATAGGTTCAGATCAATTTAACTGACTTATCTGTTCTGTCCTCATAAATTGCCCCTGTTGAGAACCACAGAATGTCAGTGTCTGGACTACAACAACATCCCTTTAAATGTCTTCTTGCTGGCACAGTCTTGCACTATTAATACATTCAGAAGGGTCTCAATAAAACAAATCCAATTTTGTCAAATTCCTATTTTAAAATTCTCAATGAATTCACATTGTATGCAAAAAAATCAAAAAGTCAAACTCTTTAACATCATGTAAGACCTTCAAGAGCTGATGCCTACCAACTTTTCCAGCTTGTTCTTATGTCAAGCTTCCCCTTCCATCCTAGGATCAGGTTACATCAAAATATATGCTGTACTCTGAACAGTCCCACCTCTGCAACTCTACTGTCTCTGTAGAATCTGCCACAATAGGAACTATAACCTTTATTGAGGTTATTTGCTTACCTATTGGTCTTCGTCAACGTTTTCCAACTTTATCTATTACAAGTGATCAGACTTGGCTATTCAGAGTCCTAGAACCCACAGGAAATTTTCTGCCAGAGATCTCATAAAATATTGCCGCTTTCCACCAGGTTTTAAAAATAATTAATATTCAAATTATATAGAGAAGCATACCAGAGGGGTTTCTAAGTTGGTACACTGCAGGTCTTGGGATTCCTGGCAGTCATTTTAGCTGTCAGGTGATAAAAATCTAGCCTGACAGATGACGTAGTACAGATTGCTGTTTGTATCCCAATGTTCTTTCTCAGCATTCTTCAAGAAGGAACCACTGAATTTTAACTGGATATATGTTGACAGGATAAAGACTACCTCTTCTTTGTAGCTAGGTGTGGCCATGTAGTTAAGATCTGGCCAAAGTCATGTGACTAGAAGTGACATATATAATTCCCCTTATAGGATAGGGTCGTGCCCTCCCATCCCTCCCATCCTGATGGCTGGAATGTGGACATGAGGGTAAACCACCTTGGACCATGTGAAACAGGGTAACACCCCAAGGGCAGTAGAATAGGAAGAAAAACAAGCCTGGGTCTCAGATGAGTTTGTAGATCAGGATCCGCATAAAAGACTGGACTTTTATATGAGAAACCCATTTAAAGATCTATGAGGTCTGTTTTACATACAACCAACTTATGTGCTAACTAATGCATAAAGTGAGAGAGAACCTCGTCTTATGATATAGTCTCTGTACTAAGAAAGCCTTGAAGACATTGACACTCTGGATCAGGCTGTGCCTTAAAGTGACAACCACTGCTATTTACTAGGTTCCCCAAAATTAACAAATAATTTGTCCCTAAAAGAATATTCTTGATTAAGATATGGCAGGTCTAAGTAGCCAAAATTGCTTTGGCAGTGACAGTGTAAAAGAACTCTATTGGAGAGACTCCCCACAGCGTAGGAGAAAAGGTCTCAGATATGGAGGGGAAAAAATATGCAACACTATCTTTTCCCTACCTGGCTCTGTGCCTTGGACCATGTTGAGTCGACAAGGGTAAAGTGAGAAACAGAAGCTGTTGACAAAGGTCTAGGTGACAAAATAGCCCAGAGTTAAGAAAAGGGCTTAAAACCTATTGCCTATAAGGTACTCCTCTAAAATTTGGCAACTTCTCTGAACAGTACCTTTTTGTTGTTTTCATTTAAAAATTGGTTTGTATATACTTAATTCACTCTAAGGTTCTCAAATAGATTATCAATTCATTCTCTTGGGATTGCTTGTTATATTTGCTATAACAAATATTCTTTTAAAATTAGTTGTAAAGAAGAAACTGTTGAAGTTTCAAATAGATATGGGAAGCAGAGATTTGATGAAAGGATATTTACATTCTGGCTATCAGATTTTTGGATTTCAAAGACCAGTCAACTTTTTTTTAGTGTTTAGGGGACTGACATAAGGCTGAAAATTTTTTACATTTCCAATTTATGAACAATAAAACAAATTTAATAGAATAATTTTTGTTTTACAATTCATTAATTGTGTTTTGTAGTTTTTCACTTCAGCACAAATGGTAAAAATGACATCAGGCAAAGCACTGGTTCCTGGTTTAATGAGCAGGGGGTAACAAATTGATTATATTTTTTACTACACTTACTATAGATCCCTTTTAGGTACATGCACTTTTCCAACCAGTCGTTTTCCTATTTATGAAGAGACAATGAACTTTTGCTACTTAGATATATTTATAATAAAGAGCCATGATGTAAGTAGTTTTAAACATCTGAACCATGTATTTTTGATTTCATATACATTAGTGCACTTTGTCCTTTGAATAGTTTATATTTCATTACTCATTCTTGCATTAATCATGAGGAAATTTGAATTTCAGAAATATCAACTTTGCTTTTGTTCTGAGGTACTAATTTTCACATTTCTTTCAGATGGTGAATGTGTATTATTTCTTTAGCCCGATTTTGGGAATTACTCTTTCACCCTACAAACATTTGAGCTATATGTCTTGTGAAAAGTGCTAATTTCTTTTTGTAGCTATGTTCTTGAGACCTTGTCACAAGAGTTTTTTACCCTGGGTGTGTGGATGAACTTCAGAAATGTCATTATACCCTTAAAATTATGAAAATATGAACATATGCATTTTCCTAAAGAATGTGTCAAAAGTTTTCATCATATTCTCTATTAAGATCAAGGCACCAAAACTGAAAAACACTGCTCAACTAGAGGAGACATGAAGGGGCTATTATAACTTAAACTAAATCCTAAAACTAAATTTAAGCAAGTTATTTGCTAAATTAGTCTTCTATTTTACTTTTTTGAAAACAATTACTTATTGTTTGAATTTAAAAGCATATGAAATAAAACTAAATCTTACCAATGGCAGTCCTACAAATGACATTATAGTGAGCATTTGTTAAAAGATGTACTAATTGGAAAACTTACAAAAGGGTTCTTGTCATGAAGATATTTCAACACTGCTAGTTCACTGCACAGCGAGAATTTTATACATTTAGCAGAACCACTGAATCAGAAAGTCAGGAAACCTGGGTTCTAGTACCAGTTTTATTTATAACTAACCATGTACAAATAACTTATCTATGAAATAATGGCTAACATCTACTCCTTAATTCACAAATATATCACAAAACCAAAATCCCTTCCAAAGAAAACCTCACTGTAAACCAAGTCATTCCCACCATGTAGGCTAGGCTTTAATTCAAAGGTTGAGAAAGACAAATTGGAGCATTTGTCTTGTGTTTATCAGTTGCATACTTTAATTCTGCAGATGGATAATCTGGCTGAGATAGGCATTGCCATCTCTCAATTTTTACAAAACAAAAAGCTACCAACAAGAAGTTAATGGTGAAGAAAAATTTGGCTCAAAAATAATGCAATTGAGAAACAGCTTTGTATTAAGTGCAGTACTTATAACATCCCTGCTGTCAAAAGAACAAAATTTATTCTTAGGTCGCTAAAGCATGTTTACCCTTTTGAAGAAACATATACTGCTAGGGCAGGCATATTACTTCACTAGAAATAAACAGGAAGGTCTTGTAGATTGTTCAAATGGCCAATCAAAATGACTGAGAAACATTATTGTGCTTTGTTTTGTTTCTTTATCCTTTCTCTTTCCTTTTTATTCATTCAAAAATTCAGTTCCCCATCCTAGACCAGACTGTCCTCTGCCAGGCTGTAAGAAAAGTTAGCATTCTGTCACTAGAGAATAAACATAGAAGAAACATAGAAGGATATCCTTGTTAAAAAGGATATCCTTTTTAACAAGAGGAATTAGCATGTTACTGAATAAAGAATCAGGAAGATAATTCTAATTGGATATAGAAAAATTTATACACCATAAACATCTATATATGTACACCATTTATCATATATACGTATTGTGACAACCATATGTATTAATAAACCTTCAAAAGGTAAGCACCTATATTTCCTGTAATTAACAATGTCAGTTTTGTGCAATTTAGTCAATATTTATGGACTTTCCCTTACATACGGTAACAAAGAGACTGAAACATGGTTCCCAGAGAAACACAGAACATATACAAATCTCATAATAAAAAAAACCATGTATACCACTGTTTAGGGAAATATTTTAGAGGAAACATACTTTCACTACTGGCCCCAAATGCCATCATCCATTTAGGTTGTTCAGTGTCAACTTTTCATACAAAAATACTTTCAAGCTGATAATTAAGAACATTTACAGTGACTTACAAAAGGGACAATATTCCAATGCTACACAAAACAGTTCTATAATACACAGCTTAAAGTTTTAAAGTTCTTTGCTGGCACTTGATTTTTTTTTATAGCTGATAGACACAATAACTACTGATCTGAGTAAAATACTGTTTTTAGCTTATATGTATGTTCTAAACCATATTACCTCACAAAAACAGTAAAGAATAAATCACTTTCTGTTGAAGAATCCTTTAGAACAAACACCAAACCTATACAGCCAAAATATTTTACGGAGGCAAATAAACATTTTAAGACAAGCCATGACCAATGGATAAAAATTTACATTACCCAATTATATGTTCAGGAATTGTTCCTCTGACTCAATAAAGCATGTATTGGGCATAGATTAAAAATTCAAATGTAAAAAGCAAGTTACCTTTTGTTTTGTTTTGGTTTGGTTTAGAAGGGTGTGTAATTCTGATTTATTATTATTATTATTTTTTTACTTTCTGTGAGCTTGTGAGGCCATTCTGCACATTATCAAAATGAAATCACTATTCAGTAACCTTAAAATACATATATCCAATTTTTTTTCTTTGTAGAAGAAAACCAAAATAATTTTACAAACTATATTTAACTTAGAATATAAAGAACTGACTAGTGTAAGATTTTGAAAATCTACCACTTTCATTATTTTGAAGGAAAGTACTCATCCTTCAAAACCCCATTAACAATTCCTAGTCCAGTTTTCTATTATACAAATTTAGAAGATAAATTCTTTGTGGCACTAAAGAAAACTAAAATTAACAGGAGACTGAATTAATAAAAAAATAAGCACACTAATCAAAACAATCCACTGTGGAATGAATATCTGAACCAGGAAAAAACCTACCAAGCATCCCGATCAATTATATAGTTCTTGTTTGCATATTTTAATTTTGGACTTTTAGCACGGTAAATTATTAAACAGGTTGATTTCATGGACTTTTTAAACCCTGTAGTATTTCAAAATATTACCCTTTCTAAACCAAATCTGTGGTCGTAATCAATGTTTTTTTTCCAAGAAAAAGAAAGGATATCTTTTTAACATACATTCCATAGCAGTAGAAACATCTTAGTGTCTCAAAATACTATTTACAAAGAACCCTGCTGATCCTGTGCATTTCGCTGAGGTGCTACTTGCACCCAGACTTCATCATCTGAAAAAGAACTTGAACTTCCTGACTCAGAGTCCAGTTCACTGAATCCATCTAAGTCCCATTCAGTACTAGACTCACTCCGTGCATCATCTTCCTCAGTAATGAAACTCTGACCAGGTTCAAGGCAGGAAGGATAAACTCGAGCACAAAGGCAAATAAAGCCAGAGTCAAACTGCAAAAGGCCTAACATGGTACCTATATTAATCCACTGATCTTCCCTAGTATCATACTCATACACTGTCACTCGGTTTTTTTTCCATTGTGGGGTTGTAGAAGTGATGAGCAGCAACTTTTGGTCATGATTGACAATCTGGTAGTTGTGGGTTTCTGAATCCAAAGGAATATTACTAATCCGCCTCCATTCTCCCCTAGCTGGGTTGTAGACCTTCATGACTGGGATGTCACAGATACAATAGATTTCATCATTGAAGACACATGCTTCCTGAAAGTCACTGCGTTTAAGAGAAGCACAGTTTAGCCACATATTGTGGCTAGGATCATAGCAGAGCATGCGCTTACTGTTGACAGCATAAAGATAGTTCTGAACCACTATGAGTTCAAAGGAATAGAAGGAATGAGGGACAGGAGCCACCAATGCCCACTGGTTTCTCTGAACACTGTAGCATTCCACTTCCTTCAATTTAACTCCAGTAATAGGGTCCCGTCCCCCCAAGATGTAGATGTAGCCATTGAGATATGCTACATCCATGCCCTCACGACACAGCAAGCGATCTGCAAGTTGTTGCCAACTATTCTGAGCTGGTTTATACACCCAGAGATCTTTCCTGGGCTGGGCAGCTAGATAGATGTCATGGTCTGGGGAGACACAGACAGCTGAGGAGGTGATAGTCTTAGTGTGGGCAAAGCTGGTTAAAGGTGATGGCATTGTGTAAATGTCCCCTGAGTAAGGGTCATAGCAGAGAAAGGGATCTCTGGGGTGTCCAAAGAAGATCACCATCTCCTTGGCACACATACCCAGCCTCTGAGGTGGATTTTCTGCTGCAGGTACAACAGAGTTGCTGTTGTTGCTGCTGCTGCTGCTGCTGCTGCCGCTGCTGCTGTTTGGCACTGGCACCACAGACTTGTACAACAGGTCACCATAGCGCATCTGCAGGGCCCCTTCAATAACGTCCAGGCAGTACTTCTTCACTATGGGCTTGGTCAGCAGCCCTTCTAAGTAGTCCTGATCTTCTTCAGTGAAGTGCATCCAGCGCACGCACTTGAAGACTTCTGCAGCACTGGGACCCCGCTCTTTGGGAGCAGCTTCCAGCCACTGCACTGCTACATGGCATACAGTCCGCTCACTCTCTATGTCCAGGCTATCCAGGCGCAGAACAGCCAGCAGCTGGGCCAGGGTCAGATCTGCTAGAGTCTCCTCCCTAATCGAACCCATTCGGCTGAGCTGCTTGAAGTTGTGAGCTATGTAGGACTGGGCCTGAGATCGCAGCTTGTGATGGTCAAAGGCGTCTGCAAACTTGAGGATGGCAGTGCAGTTGGTCAGGTCAAGACGTCGAGCTAAGAAGGAGGCACAGGCTTCCCGCACATACTCCAGCTGTAGCATGTCAGAGGCCGCGTACAGGCGCTGCACGTTGGCCTCACTGAGAGACACACGACCCGTGTAGCAGTAGTCGACCAGCACCTCGAAGGACTCGGCGTCCACATCGTGTATGGTCACGCTGGCCTGCTGGCTCTCATACATGCCACCTGTGAACATGCTCTTGAAGTAGGGACACGCAGCTGCTAGCACATTGCGGTTGCAGGAAAAGAGGCGACCCGTGCCAGGCCCGCTGCCAGGCGTCACCACCTCGATGGTCACATCACACAGCAGCCGCGCATCATAGAAAGACTTGAGCTGTGCCAGCAGGGCTGCAGAATGGGCCGTGTCCTTTAGTTCCTCTGGACCCGTGAAAAAGGCCGAAACCGAGGGCTTGGAAATCCTCTTGGGCCGCCTCCCACCGCGGGGACTGGCGAGGCGGCGAGAGCGCGGGGCGTCCTCCCGGGACTGCATGGTGGAGATGGCGACTGGCGCTGAAGGCGAGAACGGCTGCAGGACCCGGCTCTGGCTCCTCCTCACCCTTCCCTCGCTGACGCTAAGACAAGCCGCTTCCTGGAACAGACTGCGGCACGGACCTTACTCCTGAATTCTGCCCTACCCCGCGGTGAGGCCTCCCTTTATCGCGTAGACAGTGGCTGACTCACCCTCTCTCACTTCCGCGCCCTTTCTCCGCCTCCGCTCGCCCTCACAGGACCCGCTGGCTTGGAGCCGCGGAAGCCCCACTGCCGCGCTGGCGATCCCGCTAGGCGCCCAGGAGAACTACCGTTCCCGGGTTGCCTTTCGCGCCCGGAGGCCTGCTGGGGCTCTCGGACGCCCGGGCCAACACCGAGGAAAGAAACCGCTTTGCATGTTGGGAGTAGTAGTTTGTGTAATATCGCGATCTTTCCTTTCGTTGACTGCGCTAACAGAAGTAGAAATTAATACTCCTGGATTTAATGGTGAAGAACGAGGTCTCACTATTGTTGCCAGGCTGCTCTCGAACTCCTGGGGCTCAAATGATCCTCCTCATTCGGCCTCTCAAAGTGCTGGTATGACAGGCGTGAGCCACTGCGCCCTGCCAATATTTCATAGGGTTTTGTGGGGTTGAATGTTATGTTACACAGGATGCTTAGATATGTGTATTTTTTGATTAGAAGAATAATTAATCAATCACTACCCCGTGCCTAGAATGTAGTCAATAATTGTTATTCTCTTTTATAATTTATGATAAGTGAGGCACCCACTAATTTGAAACCAAGTATTTTTTTTAAACTGCAAAATGTTAACAAAACTTCCAGTTTTTAATTTTTATTTTTTTGAGAGGTTCTGAAGAGTATTAATATTTTCAATTTATTTATTTTTTTTTTGATTTTTTAAAATTTTTTTTGAAGACGGGGTTTCACTATGTTGGTCAGGCTGGTCGTGAACTCCCGACCTCAGGTGATCCACCCACCTTGGCCTCCAAAGTGCATGGATTACAGGCGTGAGCCACCATGCCTGGCCCAATATTTTCAATATTAAATGATATATATTGGTCTCATTTAACAAGGATGTCTTAGATGACTAGGCTGAGGTCCTAAAGAACAGTATTAATAGATGGCCTCAAATATGCAAATTGGGCATATACAAATAAACGCCCTGTACTTCCACTCCCAGGCAGTTGCCCAAGGGAAACGAAAACATGTATCCACAAAAACACTTGTGTAAGTATCTTCATAATAATGTTAATGACAAAGCTGGTCCCTTGAAGATGGAGTTTTTCCCTGTTCTAGGTCATGAAGCCAAGACGCGAAACTGAAAGTGAGCATCAGGCAGTGCAGGTGTTATTCCATGACCATGGAATTGAGAAGCAGGAGCGTGGGTCACAAATCAATTTCTCACCTCCTAAGAGCCAGGAAGTCACAGATACAGGGCATCTTTGATGAAGGGGATGGGTATTAAAAGCCAGGGGTGCGGCTGGGTCCAGTGGCTCACACCTGTAATCCCAGCACTTTGGGAGGTTGAGGGGGGCAGATTGCTTAAGCCCAGGACTTCCAGACCAGCCTGGGAAACATGGTGAAACCCCATCTCTATTCTACAAAAATACAAAAATTAGCCAGCTGCGCTGGTGGGCGCCTGTAATCCCAGCTACTCGGGAGACTGAGGCAGAAGAATCACTTGAATCGGGGAGGCGGAGGTTGCAGTGAGCCCAGATTGCACCACTACACTCCAGCCTGGGCAACAGTGAGACTTCGTCTCAAAAAAGAAAAAGCAAGGAGAGGAATAATCGTGTTTTTTCTGGGCGTGTGTGAAGAACTTGGAAACCAGAGTGCCACATTACTTTTTGTCCTTTTATGGTTTCTTCTGGTCATTGTCATGGTAATTGTCAACTGTCATGCAGCTGGCAGGAGTGTCATTCAACATAGAGATGAGATCATAATGAAGTTACAGGTGCTTCAGTGGTCAAATGAGCTGACATCTTGGATCCCACCAGTCTTTGCCAGTTTCGTCACAGTGAGAAACTTCTGATCTCAGGCATTCTGTTTTTTAAAGATAAGTAGAGTTAAGGTAAAGTAGAAATTCACTTAGGCCACTAAACAGTATACTGGTTAACAATAGCTTTATCCATAGTATCCAAAAAGTAGGAACAATCCAAATATACATCAACAGGACAGGAGAATGAAAAAAATTGTAGCATATGTATTAGTTCATTTTTATGCAGCTGATAAAGACATACCTGAGACTGGATAATTGAGAAAAAGAGGTTTAATGGACTCACAGTTCCACATGGCTGGGGAGGCTTCACAATCATGGCAGAAGGGGAAAGGCATATCTTACATGGCGGCAGGTAAGAGAGAATGAGAAAAAATATTGGGCCAAGCAAAAAGGGAAAACCCTTTATAAAACTCTCAGATCTCGTGAGACTTATTCACTACCACAAGAACAGTATAGAGGAAACCACCCCATGATTCAATTCTCTCCCACTGGGTCCCTCCTATAACACGTGGGAATTATAAAAGCTACAATTCAAGATGAGGTTTGGGTGAGGACACAGCCAAACCATATCAGCATATTCCTATAGTGTAAGAGTACTCAGAAATAAGAAAGAACCTCTGATATATGTAATAATGTGGATGATTCTCAAAAATTTTATGTTGAACAAAAGAAGCCAGATACACAAGGGTACTGATCATTTGTGTGAAGTTCCAGAACACTGAAAATAAGCTTTGATGAATAGAGGCTTCCTCTCTTGGGTAAGGAGTAGTGGGAGGGTGGCAACTTACTAGACCGACTAGAAAGGAACATGAGGAAATGTCTAGGGCTGATGCAAATGTTTTCTTCTAGACTGACCTGGTGGTTACATGGGTGAATGTAATCGTGAAACTCTATGAACTGTACTCTTCAGATCTGTGCATTTTATGTTCTGTAACCATCTTCTCAGAAATAGCCACTTTATAATTGCTGGCATTAAATATAATTGGAGAATTCTTTACCAGGAAGTTATTATGAAGATAGTTTAGTCATAAAACAAAGGCTACTGTCATCTAGAGGTGTATAGGCCAACATCGGTCCAATTCATACAAATGATATCCACAGATCTGGTGTTCCATACACCTGGAACTTGAGACCCTCTGAGTAATCTTCAAGGATTTCAGCATGCTGCACTTTCAAATTTTTAAAGTATGTGAGTGCCTAACATTCTATTCAAGTATTTTTCATTTCTGCCACAACTGTATTGATAACATACTCCTTATTATCTGTGGTCCCTCAAATCTTGTAATTTACATAATCCTCTGCAATAGAATCCACATTCTTCCTGGCAGGAAGATAAAAGCTGCTTTTGTTTGGTCATTACATCTCACTCATCAACAAAACATGGTTTTAGTTCTTCAGAAATCTTTAACTTCAATTCTGTTCATGAATGTTTTCAACAGCAGCATCTACTGGGGCTCTTCTGAGGAGGCTGAGGTATCTCATTGGTATTGCTCCATTTCTACTTCCACGTGATTTCAGCATTTTTCCCTTGCAGACCAGATGTCTTTTTTGCTGGTGCAGCCCCTCTCCTTCTCCCCTGTGAATTTTGTTCCTGATTTACTTCTTGAAGTTCCCCCTGTTTCTACAGTTTGGTGTTCATGTACCTGAATACTCTTACTTTGTGGAACCCATTAATCCCAATTTTCATCCCAGCCACTGTAATGTATAAGTATGTCACCTGATGGTCCTTGATGGCAAGTTTTACACACTTTGCTTCATAAAGAGGCCCATGAAAACACAGCACCTACTCACCTCAGAGTTTAGGCTTCAGTGCCATTTATAAGTAATAACCCAACTCCCTTCTCCTACCTCACTCAGCTACCACTCCCTATGCTGTAACCCACCCAACTCAGCGTCAGGTAGGCTGTCAGGCACTGCCAGCTCTACAGCCTGGGTCCATCAGTATTGTTTTTACTTTGATTTTTAAGTGAAGTTTTGAAACTGTTCACTCCTTTATTTCTATATTGAAAATGATTTCTGTTATGGTTTGACTGTCCCATTCAAAAATGTTGAAACATAATCCCCAATGTGGCAGTATTGAGAGGTGGGGCCTTTAATAGGTGATTGAATCACGAGGGCCCTGCCCTCATGAATGGATTAATCTATTTATGGATTAATGGGTTAACAGGTTAATGGATTAATGGAACAATAGGCTAATGGATTAATGAGTTATCGTGGGAAAGGAACTGGTGGCTTTATAAGAGAGACTTGAGCTAGCAGGCTCAACTCCCTCTCACCTTGTACTGCCTCGGGATTCTGCAAACTATCCACCAGCAAGAAGGCCCTCACCAAATGTGGCCCCTTAACCTTGGATTTCTCAGCTTCCAGAACTGTAAGAAACACATTCCTTTGTTGTTGTTGTTGTTGTTGTTTTGAGACATCTGTGCTTTGTCACCCACGCTGGAGTGTAGTGGCATGATTTCGGCTCACTGCAACCTCCGTCTCAAGGGTTCCAGTGATTCTCCTGCCTCAGCCTCCTGAGTAGCTGGGTTTACAGGCATGTGCCACCACGCCCGGCTAATTTTTTGCATTTTTAGTAGAGATGTCGCAATGTTGACCAGGCTGGTCTCGAATTGCTGGCCTCAAGTGATCTACCTGTCTCGGCCTCCCAAAGTGCTATTACAGGCGTGAGCCACCGTGCCCGGCCAAATTCCTTTTCTTTATGTTACCCAATTACAGGTATTCTGGTATGTGCAACAGAAAATGGACTAATACAACTCCGCACTGCCTTTAGTCATTGGCTGCCATGAGAGTTTTTATGGATCCACTCTCCCCTACCTCAGTTGGAGGGTATAGTGAGTGGGCTGCCTTAGGGTATGACTTCTGTTCCACATTAGTTCGTGGCAGCTAACTTTGTTTCAAACCTGTTATATACCTTTTTTTTTTTTTTTTTTTTTTTTTTTTGAGATGAAGTCTCACTCTGTGGCCCAGGCTAGCAGTGGTGAGATCTTGGCTCACTGCAACCTCGCCTCCCGGGTTCAAGAGATTCTTCTGCCTCAGCCTCCTGAGTAGCAGGGACTACAGGCGCATGTCACTACGCCTGGCTAATTTTTGTATTTTTAGTAGAGATGGGGTTTCACCATATTGGCCAGGCTGGTCTCGAATTCCTGACCTTGTGATCTGCCTGCCTCTGCCTCCCAAAGTATTACAGGTATGAGTCACTGAGCCCAGCCTGATACTTTTTTTTTTTTTTTTTTTAAGAGATAGGGTCTCATTATGTTGCCCAGGCTGGTCTCAAATTCCTGAACTCAAGTAATTATCCCACCTCAGCCTCTAACTTTTCATTTTATTATTTAAAAACTTGTATTGAAGTATAGCATACACTACCTGGACACTGTGGCATGGGC